TATTAAGCAAGAATTATGTGGTTGGCATTGTGTTAAGCACTGGGGATAAGAAAAAAAAAAGGCTTTCAAAGAACTTACAGTCCAATGAGGGAGACAACTTGAGCCACACATAATAAATTGGAGGCAATCAACAGAAGGAAGGTACTAGAATTAAGAGAGATTGGGAAAGGCTTTCCCGGAAAGGGTGAGATTTTGGCTGAGACCTGAAGGAAGCCAGGAAAGCCAGGAGGCAAAGATGAGGGGGGAGCAAGGTCAGCCATTCAAAAGTCTGGAGTTGGGAGATAAGAGATCCTTGTTTGAGGAATAACCAGGATGCAAGTGTTAATTGAGCACTGAGTACTAGGAGGGGGTTGGAATGAGGAAGTGATATGTAAGAAGATGGAAAGGTGACGGTAGGAGGCATGTCATAAAAGGCTTTGAATGCCAAACAGGATTTTCTTCTTGATCCCAGAGATAATTTGGAGCTGCCATTTACCAATCCACCCCCAATTACATTCAGATAAGGAAAAAGAAGGCCAGAGAGCTAGTAACTTAGATAAGATCACACAGGTAGTAAGATACAAAGATAGGATTTGAAGTCAAATCATTTGACTCCAAAGCCTACTGATTTATCTTGTTTTTGTTCAGTTGTGTCTGACCCTTCATGACTCCATTTGGGGTTTTCTCAGCAAAGATATGAGATACCAGTTTGCCATTTCCTTCTCCAGCTCATTTTACAGATGAGAACAGTGAGGCAAACAGGGTTAAGTGACTTGTCCAGGGTCACACAGCTAGGAAGTGTCTGAGGCCAGACTTGAACTCAGGAAGATGAATCTTCCTGACTTCAAGCCCAGTGCTCTATTCGCTATGCTACCTAGCTGTCCCATTTATCTTGACCTCTTTGCAAGTTAATTAGCACTTCTGAAACTATCCCCATTGGCTTATGATCTTGGAAATGCTGCCTAGTAAAAGTTGTTATAAGATTTACTTAAATGAATTTATCACAATTATTTGTAATATTTATAATTAAGAAGGTCATAATTAGCACAGGGCTCTCTCCCCATAGCCTGGAGTCTATCTCTTGGGACATGGTCTTGGGAATTATGGGGAAGGCAGGACAGGGAAGAATAGGACCTTGTGACAACATAAAACACAGTCACTGTCCCCAAATCTGTTATAGTCTTCACCCTTCACTGCCACCACAGATGAGCATAATCCCCTTTCTCTTCACTGCTTTTGCCACAGGTGAAAAGATGATTAGTTATGGCTTTAATCTACGAGTCCGTTGTTTTATTTAAATGATTACTTCCGAAGTGCTTGCCTGAATAGACTGTTTTCAAGATTTCAAAGGCTATTCCAATAATCTTGTCTATACCTGAGGAAAGCACTGGCTAATTTCTTCCTAGTCTCCATCCAATTTAGCCTAAATTCCAAATTAAGAGAGTCTCAATTAATTCGATTCAACTCATCAAATGTTTATTCCATACCTACTCAGCTTATCATTCAGTGTGTCCATGAAAGTCCTGTTTAGATGCCTCTTTGATACCATAGGCCTGAGAGGTACAGAGAATAGAAGATTTTAATGTTTCTATCATTGATTGTTGGGTTTTTTTAAAAGAATTATTTGAGTAAAACAAAATTTAGCCTCAAAGGCTCTCATAAAAAAAAGGCTACTCCCACTTGTACGGTAAAATCCCAAGAGTGTGACAACTGAGACTATTAAAATGTATATATACATGTAAACATGTGCATGCATACATGTGTATATATGCACACATGTGTATATAATGTGTTTCCCTTATAATCCTATATATTTGATTTTATGTATTTAAAAACATCCTGAGAAGGGGTCAAGAAGGGTCAAGACAAAAAAAGTTAAGAACCTCTGTCCTAAATAAAACTCAAACAACAGAATTCTTTATTCATGTCAAGGTTCTTCAAATATTCCTATTTGTAGAAGAGAGAGAATGTGATTTAGAGTAAAGAGACTTGGACCTTAAATCAATGGGTACTGACTTAATCCCCTAATCTGGCACTTATTAGGTGTATGATCATGAGCAAATCACTCTCAGTCTGTTCCTTCATATGTACCACAAAGATAACCATATTTGCCCCATAAACATCATGAGGGGTTTTGTAAAAGAGGTTTAACATTGTTTTAAGTGACTAGGATAAAGCCATGGTTGGCATGCTTCTCAGATTTATAGATGACTCAAAGGAAGGAGGGAGAGCTAACAGTGAATGTCATAAGAGGAATCCAAAAAGATCTTGACTAGCTAGAAAGATGGACCTGGTCTAATAAGATGAGCTTTGTTAGGGATAAATGTAAAGTTTTATATTTGGGTCCCCTAAATGAACTCAACTTCATAAGTATAGGATTGTGGCAGGAGTAATATCCCAATCCCTCCCTCCATGAAAGTTAGGCTCATTTTTCCTTAAAAGCTATTGAAATCGCTTTTGAGACCTGATTGGCTCTGGAGATGAAAGACTCAGGCTGTTGATATCCCTTTCTGATCTCCTGAGCACAAAGCAGCCACAAGCAGTTTTAGGGATACTCTGATGCTCGCCTGGTGGAGATTTTCTCAGCTGAATCAACTTGAGGTGTGCTCAGTGTCTTTCCTTGTTAAATAATCTCCTGCTACGGCTAAGTAGATCTCTTTGTTCACTGGCTAATTTGGCTAATTTGAATGACTTATACATGTCTCATTATGTTTGAAAATCAAACCTGAGCTATCAGGTGACTGGCTTGAGTCAGGACCAATAAGAACAAGGCCGACAGATGTATGGCCAGACAAGATGGGGGAGGGGGGAAAGGGGTCTTAGTACCTGCAACCTCAATATATGTCAAGTTGAATATGGTGACCAGGAAAGCTAATGAAGCCTAAGGCTTGCAGTATGAGAAACCTAGTGCCCAGGATCTGCCCTGGTCAGGCTACATCTAATGTACTTTGTTCAGTTCTGACAACTGCATTTTAAGGGAGGACACAGAATGCATCCAGAGGAGGGTGACCATGAGAATGGGAGGACTTGAGATGACAACTTATGAGCGTCTATTTGAAGAGATTGACAATGTTTAATCAGTAAGGAGAAGAGGATAGAACAGCAGCTGACTTCAAGGATTTGAAGGTCTGTCATGTGGAAAAAATAACTTACTTCTTCTTCCTAGTGACCCAGAAAATTGAATCAGAAGTAATGGGTGGACGCTATGGGTCTCACAATGCAGCTTAAGACTTCATTAGCTTTTCTGGTTGCCAAATTGAACTACTGACTCATGTTGAGCTTGCAGGTTGCTAAAAATCCCAGATCTTTTTTTTTTTTCAAATGAATTTTAGTCAAGCCATGTATCTTTCAGCTTTGTTTTAGTTTAGGTTTTTTTTTTTAGGCAATTGGGGTTAAGTGACTTGCCCAGGGTCACACAGCTAGTTAAGTGTCAAGTGTTTGATCTGAGGTCACATTTGAACTCAGGTCCTCCAGACTTCAGGGCCAGTGCTCCATATACTGCGCCACCTAGCTGCCCCTCCGGCTTTGTTTTTGGCTAGGCTTGACTTGGGCCACTCTCTTGCTGGTTCATTTTTGACAATGAAACAAAACAAAAATCAGAGAGTCAGATTTAACCAAAAAAAATAGGCTTAGTGTAAGGAAGAACATTATAAACTATTTTTATTGTTGTTATTCAATCATGTCTGAAAAACCCATTTGGGTTTTTTTTTGGCAGAGATACTGGAGTGGTTTGCCATTTCCTTCTTCAGCTCATTTGACAAATGAGGAAACTGAAGTGAACAAGGTTAAGTGACTTGCCCAGGGTCACATAGATCATTAAGTGTCTGAGGTCAGATTTGAATTCAGGAAGTTGAGATTCCCTTTCTCTAGGCCCAGCACTATTCATTGTGCCACCTAGCTGCCCTACTATAACCATCAGAGCTATCCAAAAGGGAAAAGGGCTAACTCTGGAGGGAGTGGGCTCCTCTCCACTGAAACTCTTTCAGTTTTTGTCTTTGTATCCTCAGCAACTAACACAGTGCCTGGTAAATAGAAGGTGCTTAATTATTGCTTGTCGAATTGAATTGTATGGAATCCAAGGAAAGGCTAAGTACTTATTGCTGGGAATTTTGTAGGAGAGATTCAGGTGTGGGTTGGGCTAGAATGCCTCTGAGGTACCTTCCAAGATTCTGTGATTCTGAAAAGTGCTTTGTAAATGTAAGATGCTTTATAAATGTCAGTTATCTGCATTATTAGTAACTGCATCAAGCTCAGAAATGTTTTAAAGCCTTTTAAATGAAAACAATAGCAATGTATAACAAACTGGTCCAACTATCCATACTGGGAAAACAAAATCAATGAAAACCACATACAGCCCAGACCATGACATGAGCTAAATGGGCAGCTTATCAAATTAGTCCATCAATATGTATATCAATATATACAGATGGACGATGAGCCGGGCCCAGAATTATGCAGGACAAGGAAATAGGGTTGGATTGCATTTGGAAAAATGATCAGTGGTTTCAATGACTCCAAATGGCTACTGCAGAATCCCATTTCTTTGTTGTAGAAATTACACATATCTTTCCTCCCCTCCCACCCCCAGCATGCAGACAGAGCCAAGAGGGGATGATTCTGCCCTCCTTCAATATTCTATATGTTTCATGAAAGTAGTTTGACTAAGGTAATTTGAACTGCCCCAGGGGAAGGAGGGAAAGAGACAGCTGGGTAGAGAATGAGGCACTCTTCCTGAGTCCCTGAATCCAATCTAGAAGACTCTAGCACAATCAGGAGACATATCACACAGGTATTGGAGGAGAAAGGTAAGTCTTAAACCAACATGACCTGACACGCAGCTAGGAATCTGTGTGACTCTGTGTGTGTGTGTGTGTGTGTGTGTGTGTGTGTGTGTGTGTGTGTGTGTGTGTGACTTGAAACTATGGGGGGAAATGTGCAAAAAGAGTTTATGGATAATGGAAAGCATCTGGTCCCGAGGTATATGTATAGCTAAAAACACATCTTTGTTCTCCTTTCTACAGGCCAGTTGCTAGAGAGATGGTCCCTTAGTAAAGAGAATGTGTGCCATATGGCAGAGGATGAGAAGGATGGCAGAACTTTGAAGGTCAACAAACAGGCCCAGCAGAACCTGAGCAGAGATATAGAAAGCAGAACTATGGATGACAACAGGGGACCAATAACGAATTGGCTGGAAGTAAGAACCATCACAAACAAGCAATGATAGGGGGATCATGGAGGGAAGTGCCATCCCCACCCACCCACCCACCCAGGAGCAAGCCTCGGCTTCTCTGCTGGAATTAAAACCTGGTTGGTTATTGTCTTTCATTCTGGAAGAGGACCCAAGTGACATCACTATGTTAGGGTCAAGGTACAGTGTGTCTGACTGTAGCTGATCGGACCAATAAGACCTTGGAAGGCTCTACTACAAGTCAGGCACAAATAGTCCATATGAACCAAAACCTAAGGCAGTACTGTAAACCACAGATCATCCATATATGTGGGGGAAGTTGGCTGGTTGGTGGGTATGACATGCCTTTGGTAAACTTGCAGGTTGAAAGGGCCAAGTTACAAACATATTAAGATGTAAGGACACATCTCCCTCGGAAGGTGAGCCCCTTTCAGATGTGTATGGACCATTTTGGATCTAATCATGGATATGAAGCTTTAGGTAGATCATTTGCATCAGAAAAGGTCACGAAAGACAATGAATTTGCACCTGGACCATAGATAGTTTCTCTGCCTTTTCCCTAGCTTTTCATTTGCATAGATCTAAATAGCTGAACTTGGAGTCAGGAAGATCTGAGTGCAAATGTGACTTCAGTCACTTATTTGCTGTGTGACCCTGGATAAGGCACTAAAGCTCTACCTGACTTAATTTCCTCCCTTGTAAAATAAGGATGATAATAATAGCGTCTAGGATTATTGTCAGGATACAAACCTGAACCCCAGAGCTATTTGTTAATTACTGGGTAAATGGCCACTGTCTGATTAGGACCTACCCTACAGAGATGATGATTTGGGAAATGTGCTTGTGGGTCACCACAAGTTATGGTGAAGTCTTGCCCCAAGAAGACCCAGTCCTGAACCAGGAGGAGCTGTTCACAGGAAAAGCTAAACCTCTGCTTTCCTATCTCCTCCTTGAGGATGACAAGCCTCGGAACTAAGGCCCTGAGAAAGCAGAACTGAAAAGATTAACAGTCTAAGCAAAGGGCTTCTTCTCCTTCTGAAAGCAGAGAAATACCATAGCTGAGGATTGCAATTGAACCTGAAACTGGAGGCAGTGGAGACTATAACTATCCAACCATGGAACCATCCCAGAAAGCATATCAACTGGTCCAAAAGAAACATCACACTTGTAAACTCATCATTATCATATCTAGCATTTATGTGGAACCTACTATGTTCTGGGCACTGTGCTAAAGCTTTGCAAATATTATATCTTTTGTTCTCACAAGTATCCTGGAAGATGGATGCTATTCTTATCCCATTTTACAGTTGAGGAAAAGGAGGCAAGTAGACGTTAAGTGACTTGCCCAAGGTCACTCAGCTAGTAAATATCAGGGGCCACGTTTGAACTCCGACCTTCCTTACCTCCGGGTTCCAGCATTCTGTGCACTATGGTGCCACCTAGTTGCATTAGTACAACACTCGGTAAACCCAGCCACACAACTATGCAAGAGAGACACTACTCTCAAAGATGAAGGCCATGATGAATGCAAAGAGAGAAAAAACACCAAGGGCCTATAGTACTTTAGCTGTGATTTGCTTTATCCGCATATATTCACCATAAACATACTAGCCACCACTGTACTCCAACTTGGCACCCATTTTCCCCAAGGAATTAATGTGCATTTGTGGGAGATCTCAGTCAACCCAGGTTCGTGGAGGGATGTTTTATAACTATTGTTCTTGCTATACCATTTGAGAAAAATGCCTTGTCTAAGGGCGAATTGAGTTTAGTGCTAGATTGCTAGTGGGAAGCAAACTGGTAGAGGTCCTTGAGAAGAGTTATGCCCTTGAACCCCAAGAGCAGTCAGCCATCTAAAGACCCAACCAATGAGCACTAGTATAATTTGGGGAAGTGGCTCAAATCTGAGTACTATTTGTCTCACTGCTTTCTCAATGAAACTGTTCATGTTTTGAGCTTTGTGAACCCATGTAAGGCATGTTAGGGACTTTTTGTGGGTGTTATATTATCAAGTTCTCAGATCATTTGTTTGGGGGCAATGAAACGAGGAATGAGTTCTATTAAGTGTCCCCAGACTCTGGGTTAGGCAAGAGTCTCTGAACATAACAAAGGTTGTTTCAACCTTCATCACCAATATTCTCTCAATAGTGCTGTATGTCTGATAGTGGTCAAACACTATAGTGTTGGAAGAATAAAAATTGCAAAATAATCCAAAGTATCACTGAAAGATGTATCGTATGCACAAGTGGACTGAAGCCCATTACAAAAGATGGTTTGCATCCCTAAAGTGGTATAAAACATACAAAGATATGTGTGAGTAGAAAGAGAGGTTAGTCAGTCACGTAAAAAGAATAAAAGAAAAGAGATGATCAGCCTGAGTTGCAGATAAGCAATCATGGAATATTAAAAGAATATGAGGGAAAACCTCTAGGATATCCATTAGATAGTCTGCAGAGCATTTATAAAAAACACATGGACAGTAAATTCACAGGCCTAGAGGACATGGTGGGGCTATGATCTCCACCATTAGGTAGATTACCCACCCATCCCAATGTAATCCAGGATATCCAAAAGGACTATGGGGTAGAGTACTGCATTAAACACCAGGACAGAGATGGAAAGGATACAACCCTTGTTCTTACGTTGCTTTAGAATATAATTTTAATGTATGAGTAAATTATTTTTTCCTTTAAATCTTGCGTTGTGTGGAGGAGAAAAATAAAGGGCAATCTGATTATTTGGGACCTGATTTTGTATCACTGGCTTTGCAACCTTGGAAAAGTAACTTCTCCTCTCTAGCCCTTGGTTTCTTCTTCTGTAAAATGATGGGGGGGGAGGTGGTCTAGACAGTTTTTAAGGTCTTTTGTAGCTCTGTAGTCTCCTAAGTCCTATAAACTGATGTACCTAGTCACCAGGAAAGACTTGAAGACAATGGGACATTATTCACCAGCTGACTTCCATTTTGGATCCACAGTGTTTTCCAAAGCACAATGTAAGGGCACCACTGTTGTTTAGATATTAATATAAATCATCTGGGCCTCAACAAGCAAGTCTGAGTAAACCTGTGTTTAATGTCAAGTTTATATTAATATTTGCATTAACAAGATTGATAATTTACAAATTTACATAACAATACATATGTAAAGGCTGAGCTAAGTTTGGGTTTACACACGTTTACATAATGTTTACAGATTGATTGATTAGACAAACTTGGGCATAAATCTGAGTAAACCACAGGCTGTTTTTTCCCTCTGAGCTGGGTATCCTATGTCTTAATAAATGGGCTAAGCTTTACCTAAGTCCTCTATTATAACCTTCACAGAAGATTTGATATTTTGTGAAAAGTAATTTTAACTGAAAAGACTAAGATGAAATCATTGGCACTATTTCCCCCCTTAATCTCCAGCCTGTCTTTGTGAGAAAAGTAGATGCATGTGCTTAAACAGTTCTCTGGTAATGATAAAAACTCAGCCTCAGGCAGGGAAGCCAGAGTCAAGGCTACCCCCTTATCCTGTGATCTTATAGAATCTTTGGACAGGCTGGGACCTTGAGAGGTCATCTCCATCACAACCGGACTCAGGCAGGCCTAAATCTGAACTAGCCCAGACAAGTGATGAGTGAAACGTAACCTAATAGCTGGCATTTATAGAGGACTTCAAGGTTTGTCTCTTTACAAATATGTGTTTCATTTTATGCTCACAACAACCCTGAAAGGTAGGCAACTTTATAATCCTCATTTTGTAGATGAAGAAACTGAGGTCGACAGAGGTTAAGAGGTTTGCCCAGGGTCACATACCTAATCGTTGTATAAGGCAGAATTTGAACTCAGGTCTTCCTGGTTTCAACTCCTATACCCTAAGCACAATGCCATTTAGCCTACTTGCCAGTAACACACATTTCAGTAATACCTTAAGGTCAACAAAATGCTTTCCTCACATCTCTGGGGTACTTAAATAGATCTATTATCTCATTGATGTGAGCATTCCTTCCGTTAATGTAGACTGCAATCCATCCTAAGCGGGTTCTGTTCATGATTTTCCACAGGCCTGAAAAAGGAAGTTATCAACATCCAGCTTGGAAGAGGATCATCACTGGATATGGTCCAGATGGATTCACAACTGAATTTTATCAAACATTCAAAGAACAATTAATTCTAATACTACATAAACTATTTACAAAAATAGCAAAAGAAGGGCTATAAATCAGTTCAATGATATAGATATGATCTTCATACACAAACCAGGAAGAGTCAAAACAGAAAAAAGAGAGCTATAGACCAGTATCCCTAATGAATATTGATGCAAATTTTTTAATAAAACATCAGTAAGAAGACAACAGTAAAAAAAAAAAAGCAACATATTACGAAGATTATATACTATCATCAGGTTGGAATTCTACCAGGAATGAAGGGTTGGCTTAATCTTAGGAAAGCTATAAATTTAATTAGCCATCCTAATAACACAATCAACAAAAATCATATGATTATCTCAATAGATACAAAGCTTTTAATAAAATTGAATACCCATCTTAGTGTTAAAAATACCAAATACATGGCAATTAATGGACCTTTCCTTAAGATGATAAATATTATATCTATATCTATATCTATATCTATATCTATATCTATATCTATATCTATATCTATATCTATATCTATATCTATATCTATATCTATATCTATATCTATATCTATATCTATATCTATATCTATATCTATATCTATCTAATGCTAATGAATATATTACATATGTATGTATAACCAAAGGCTATCATTACATATAATGGAGATAAACTAGAATCCTTTCCAACAGAATCTGGGTGAAACAAGGGCATCCATCATCACCACTGCTATCTGACACTGTACTAGGAATTCTAGCAATAGCAGTAAGACAAGAAAAAGAGATTTGGGAAACAAGCATAAGTGAAGAAGAACCAAAATTATCATTTTTTGCAGATGATATGATGGTATACTTAAGGAACCTGAAAGAGTTAACAAAATTAATTGAAACAATCACTTCAGCAAACTTGCAAGATTTAAAATAAATCCACAGAAGTCATCATGATACCAATGTCTACAAGATACCACTGAACCCACAAGGAAAAGGGAAAAAAGATAAATTCCATTTATAACTACTATAGAATGTAAAAAAAAATACTTGGGAGTCTACCTACAAAGATATACATAAGACCTATATAAATAAATACAAACCACTGTCTATAAAGTCTATAAAAATATAGACTTAAGTTATTGGAAAAATATTAATTGTTCACGAATAGGATATCAGTATGAAAGCTTATTCATTGTTATACTAATCAATCCACCAAAGGATTACTTTGCAGAATTAGAAAAAAATAACTAAGTTCATATGCTGGCAAAAAAAAATTCAAGAATCTCAAGGGAAATAATGAAAATAAGTGAGAGCAAAGGGGTCTATCAGGGCCAGATCTTAAACTATAATACAGAACAATAATTCTCAAAACACTTTGGTACTGGTTAAAAAACAGAGAAATCAGTCAGTAGAATTAGGTCCACAATATACAGAAGCAGATTTGACTAGCACTCTAGTATCTGCTAAACACAAAGATCCAATATCTTATACCATATAACACTAATAAATGACCTGTTTCCTCATCTGTGAAAGAAGGGAGAAGAAAATGTGCCGTTCTTGCAATACCTTATAGAGTTTCAAGGGTCAAATGAGACAATGCATGTGAAAATGTTTTGCAAACTGCTATACAAAGATTATTCCCTCTTCCCCTCCCAAATCACAGGATTTACTATCAGGACAGAGTTCATGGCTTCTTAACTTGGGGTCCATGGATCTTTGAGGGACCCTAAAGAGTCTGTGGATAGATTTCTGTTAACTAGAACTATAATTTCTATAAACTGTGAATTTCAATGGGAAAAAAATAATTTTTATTTCAATAGAATCAGTTCCCTTTGTCTTCTTATGTACTTTATTTTATGTATTTAAAAACATGTTTCTGAGAAGGAGTCCATTGGTCTCACCAGACTGCTAAAAGGGTCCTTGGGACCAAACAAAAATAACCTTAAGAACCCTTGGCTTATATCCTGTGCAACCACAGGAATATCATTTAACTTCTCTAAGTTTTTTTATTGTCTATAAAATGGGAACAACAATACTTGAACTGCAGGGTTTTCAGTTCTTAAAGAATTGAAAATTAGTACCCATGGGAGGAAGAACAGCAGAAAGAGGTGTGTGTGTGTGGGGGGGTGTGTGTGTGGGTAGGTGTGTGTGTGGGTGTGTGGGTGTGGGTGTGTGTGTGGGTGTGTGGGTGTGTGTGTGTGGGGGGTGTGTGTGTGTGTGTGTGTGTGTGTGGGTGTGGGTGGGTGGGTGTGTGGGTGTGTGTGGGTGTGTGGGTGTGTATGGGTTGCAACACATAAAGAGGAAGTTACAGAGAAGTGGGCTATGTCACCCAAGAAATGTCTGAGAGAAAAGGAAGATGTCGAGAGGAAGCCAAAGCCCTAACCAATGGACAGCCCATATACTACATTGCTATCTTTACATTTCCCACGCTACCAATCTGTTCTTTTTGTTGTTGTTGTTAATACAAATTTACATCTCTAAACAAAATTTAAAAAGATGTTTAGAGATATAAACTTTTCCCTGTGGGCTGATTTTGGCTACATCCCAAATGTTTTAGCATGTTGTCTCATTGTTATCATTGTCTTTAATGAATTATTATTTCTATGATTTTTTCCTTGATCCAACTGTTCCTTAAGTTTGTTAGTCTCCATTTAATTTTTAATAGTTTTCTTTCCCAGTAGGCTTTTAATTAATATAATTTTTATTACATTGTGTTCAGTAATGGATATGAATAGTATTTCTCCTTTTCCTGATTGGCTTATGAGTTTTTAATGTCCTGCCACATGATAAGCTTTTATAAAGATTTCACACACAGCTGAGAAATATGTATATATTTTTCTATTTCCATTCAGTAATTGCCAGAGGTCTATCATATCTAAGTTTTCTAAAAAAAAAAATTTCACGTCTTTAATGTCTTTCTTTTTGGTTAGATTTAGCTAGGATTGATAGAACAAATTGGGTTTTACCACTATTATTGTTTAAGTGTCTATTTCTCCTTATAATTCATTTAGTTTTTCCTTCAAGTATTTAGAAGCTGTGCCATTTGCTACACATATGTTAAGTATTCAAATCAATTCATTACCTATTACCTTTCCCCCCAAAATGTAATTACCCTCTTTTTTCTTTTAATTAAGTCTATTTTTGCTGCTGCCTTTTCTAATTGCTACCCCTGCTTTTTTGTGTTAAGGTATAATTAATTTTTCCCCCTCCCTGTTTTTAACTCGGTGAGTCTTATGTTTCAAGTGTGTTTCCTATAAACAACATATTGTTGGATTTTGCTTAATCTATTTTGCTAACTTCTTCCATTTTTGTGGGTGGGTGTATCACCTGTATAACTGTCAATAGTTATAATAATTGTTTATTTCTCTCCATCTTATCCTCTTAAATTTTTTCTTCCCTATACTCCTCTCTTTCTGTTTATTTCAAATTATTAACTTTTTTTTCCCTTTTAACCTTTTTGTCATTATCCCCTATCTAAGCTTGGAGTTTGTTTTGCTTATGATTAATCCTTCCTTAAATCTACCCTCATTCCTATACTCTCCTTTCCCATCTTCTTGTTCCTATCTGTAGCCCTGTTAAGTAGAATGTATTCCTATACCAAATTTTCTCTTTCCCTTTCTCTCTCTCTGCCCACATTAGACCAGTTTGGTGAAAGCAAAGTCCAAGTGACACTCTCTCTCCCTACTCCTTTCATGTTTTCATATACTAATTCTACTCAGACATCCAGATGATGTATTAATACATTCCCCCATCTTTTGTCACATTTCCCCCTAACATAGCCTTCTAAACCACCTTCTTTCTTTCTTTCTTTCTTTCTTTCTTTCTTTCTTTCTTTCTTTCTTTCTTTCTTTCTTTCTTTCTTTCTTTCTTTCTTTCTTTCTTTCTTTCTTTCTTTCTTTCTTTCCTTCCTTCCTTCCTTCCTTCCTTCTTTTTTGGCAACATCTTCAAAACATAACAAAATGATTTGTAGGTCTTCTTTCCCAATTGACTACCTCTATGACCTCTTTCTGACTTTAGAATTCTTTTTTTTTTTTGGCTAGGCAATGGGGTTAAGTGACTTGCCCAGGGTCACACAGTTAGTAAGTAGCGTCAAGTGTCTGAGGTTGGATTTGAATTCAGGTCCTCCTGACTCCAAGGCCAGAGCTCTATCCATTGCACCACCTACCTGACCCTGCTTATTACTTTTAAGATCAAATGCAAATCTCTAATTTTGGCATTTAAAGCCCCTCACAATCTGGCTACAATCTACCTCTCCAGCCTTATTATACCTCATTCACCCATTCAGGGACTGTATGGTTCAATCAAACTGTCTATTTTGCCATTCCTCACTGATGACCTTCATCTCTGGTCTCAGTGTCTTTACAGGGACTGTCTCATACCTGGAAGGCTCTGTTACCTCACCTCCACCATCTTAGAATCCCTAATTTCCTTCAAAGCTCAAAGACTACCTCCAACATGAGACCTTTTCTGATCTCCCCTAGAGACTAGTATCTCCCTTCCTTTCCCCCCCCCACCCCTAAGACCCCAGAACCTTGTATTATTTTTATGTACTTATACATATACATGGTCTCTGCCCCGCAGAATATAAGCTATTGGAAGGCAAGGGCAATTTCATTTTTATATTTGTATCTCTGCCCTGAACACACAGTGGGTACTTAATAAAATAGTCATTGACTTTTGCCTATTTTAACTCTGTGACTCAATTCCTTTTGCTGTAATGCGAAGATGATATTACTATGAAATACCTAGGAGACACATTCCACATTCTCTTTCAAGAAGCCAGACTAGATAATATAGGAATCACAAGCTCTTTGTCCCTATGTCTAGGACCAGGTGGCTTCCCCAAAGAAAACTGGGCAATCCCTTTATGACCATTGAGGAGATGGTCAGCAAGCTGGGTCATTCTTCCTTCTCCCCTCAAAAGTGCAGAAAGGTCTGCATTTCATCAGTTACAATCCTTCAGACACAGACTTTCTGAGCTGTAAGAAACCTTAGACATCTTATAGTTCAATCTCTTCATTTTACAGAGCAGATAATGGGGGGGAAGGGGGAGGGAAGGAAATAAATATTTACACAGCACTGGCTATGCACCAGGCACTGTTCTACATGCTTTACAATTATTATTTCATTGGGTCTTCACAACAAAGGCA